TGAATCCTATTTCTTAAACATTGATAGTAGATGCATAGAAGAATAAACATGCAAACAAAGTTTCCCCCCCACCCAAGGCATGCAGAGAATGAGAGGCCTCTCGGACTGACTCCTACCAAGAGTCAGCCCCGATCTGTTGGATTTTACCAGTATTTATGCCAAATGATCAAAGTGTGTCCCTTGATAATCATATTACAGTTGTAAATTAACACTTAGAAGTTGAAATTGTCTTGCAGGAAATTGCGTCCTTGGTCTTACACAACAAAAGTTCACATTCCACAAGATCAATACAGTGTCATTGTTTTCTCCTGGTGTTTCCCAATTATGGGAAATAAACTGTCCTTTTGGTGCTATCGTTGAGATGAAAGCGGGGTGCGTGTGAACTCTGTATCTCAGGAAGTTAGTTTGCATTTTGGATTGGGGTCTGTCACTTCCCAAGCTAGCTTTCCTGACCAGCTGCCCTTTTTATTGCTGGTTATTGTAAGTCTCACACCTGGGGAAACATTCATTGATTCAAATCCTGGGATTGGAATGTTTTGAACTTTTGCCGGGGTGACTGATAAAGAGATTTGTCTAGAACAAAGGGCTTGGTACAGGCTAGGCCTCCTTGCTATTCTGCTAGCAAAGAAAGAGAGACAGATATATGGATTTCATAAACTATTTGGTTCATTTTAAATCCAAACCTTCCATATTTCTAAAATTTACCACACAGACCTTGTGGTATTTCCCACCGAAATCGGATGTTAAGTTGTCTCAATTTATCTGCCAGCTTTTTAAACTTCTTTCTGTCTTGTAGAATTGTTCTTGGAAGCTCTCTCATAACTGCTATTTTTTGCCATTTATCTCTAATGTCTGTGTAAATTGCTTCTTAAAGATGTCTTCCTTCATCCTCTTTGTTACAAATTGCACAATCACATCCCTTGGTAGACCCTTCTTTTCAGCGTATAGTGAATTCACTCTATAAATCAAATCAAATCCTGAGTCCATATTATTTATTTATTTATTCAGCTTGATATACCGCCCTAACCTCTGGGCGGTTTACAGAGGGGGTGCTAATCACCTATTAACCCTAACTAGGGCCACGTTGTTTCTGGGGAGGGGCAGCCTACCGGCACCCAGGTGGAGGCAGGTGTCTTCTGATCTGGTTGGCTTCATTTTCCCGGCAGTGATTGGGCTGTTGTTCCTGGTGCATTGGCGATCCGGCGCGCTGCTAACGGCCTCCCAGGACCTGACTCCGTCCTTCAGGCTCCGTTGCGTATCTGGGTGACGTCACTGCGCGCCTCCTGCTGCATGGCAGCCTCTCGTTGTTTCCGCTGCTGGCCGCCAGGAGTCACCCCTTCCGGGCCTGCTGCTCTCTACTTGCTGCCGCCGCGTAGCCGTGCTCCTTTCTTGCCTCTGCCACTGTCATCGTCTCCATCGCCGCAACGCCGCCGCCATTGTTGCCATCCATACACCTCGCCGAGGAGGAGGGTGCCCCCACCCTTCTAAGGGTGGGTACCCATTAATCTACTCGCCTGAGTTTTTACGTCGGCTTTCGAACCGCTGGGTGGGCGGAAGCTAGGACTAGGGTCGAGAGCTCACCTCGACCGCGGTGGGTCTCGAACAGCCATAGTGGCTGCTCGAGTGATGTTAAGGCAGGCATTTTACTGCCTGCGCCACCGCTCCCGCTTGATCTTCTCCCATATCCCCTTGATCTTCTCCCAGATATTCCGTCAAAGCTGAGATCACTCTGAGACGTATATTTTCATCAGATACTTCCTCAATTCCTCTTAATCTCAAATAGTTTTGCATCCCTCTATATTCCATTACAGATTCCAATCTTTTATTCTCTTGTATTGCTGACTCCAACTTTTTATCAATATCTTGTGTTTTTTGCTCCATCTCTGTCGACTTCGTTACTAGACTTTGAACTTCTTTTTTAACCTCTGTAACTTCTTTTTTAACTTCTGCAACTTCTGTGATAACCAGTTGTTTCATTGCCTCTATGTTTTTCTCTTGCACTTCTTCCAGTTGCTCTATCTGTAATTGTAACTGTTGCTCCACTTGTTTCCCCAGACTTTGAATTGCGTCCATCATTCTCTTCTCCATCGCGTCGATTGCTGCCTGCCACTCTTTCTTGTCTTTACCAGCCATCCTCGGACTTGATGTAGATTCTGCCCTTTTTCTCAAATCTGTTTTGAAACTTTAAAATAAACAAGTTCAATCAAATTCTTCAACCTTGGTATGGTTCAGCTCTGCTAGATGCGCTTACTCGAATTGCCCCCTTTGATTTCTTTTTCTTCTTATTTTTGACCTTAAATTTGAGTTTTAAAATTTTAATCCTCCTCAAAATGGCGGGTGCAACTCCTCTATGACTTTCTGGCTAGAGTAGGCTTGTTTTTCACTTCCTGGTTTGTGTCTCTTCGGATGATAGGTCTTCCGTTACACCTCTATTACTCCTCCGATCTTCTTCCGGTCCTCCGACGTCTTACCAAGCCCCCTCTAGCCCTGCAGTTGTCTTCCGCAGCTACACAATCCAGCCGGAAAATTTTTTCTGTAACACTTCCTAAGATACTCTCACGATCTTTCACGTCAGTTTCAGTCTCAGACGCCACTCTTTGTCTCTCACTAACCACAGGAATGTTAAACAAAGTCTCTTTTTCTCCAATTTTACGCTTTGATGCACACTTTTTGAACATGGAAACGAACAGATTATTTTTAAAAAGTCATTATGCACTTGTCCACTTGCTTCAAACTTCGCTAGAACCTCCCTCCGATAAGCAAAAAGTCTTTGTTACCTTTCACGTTTATCTTCGGGTTTTCGCACTGCTTCTTTTCCATTCAATTATTCCTTCGTTCTTAAGAAATCGGGTGATGACGGATTTATGCTGATATATCAGCTCAGCTGTCTGTTTTAGTGCTGGAATGCAAACATCCACTTTGGGGGAGGAGTTCAAAGCGTGCCCCAAGCTTCCTCCGAGGCTTGAAACACGCAAACTCAACTCCCACTTGGAACTAGTTGCTTGCTTGTCAGATCCCCTACCTGAGGGCTGCTGCGTTGGGCAAAAGTTGCCCAAACTGTCAGAAACAGACACCATCCACTCTGCCCGCTCGCAGAGTGCGTCAATTCGCCATTTTCACCCGACCGGAAGGATCAATTTTTGGCAGGAATTTTATCTGGTTTAGGCTTATACCCAGTCGCTGAGAAAATTTGATTTTTGCTATCTGATATCGAAGTGTATGTGTCATACAGAGTTTCATTATTTGCCTTTACTGCAAAGAAAATAAGGTCTAAAGTCGCAGTGAGAGGGGATGCTACTTAGTTATTTGTTCTTACTACTATTGTTACTGCACAGTATTTGCAGTTGTATTTTCTTACTGATTATTGGTTCGACGTGGTATCTTTGTTTATTTGCTGATTTATAGTTTGTACGCAATTTGTGTTCTTCTCGGTTGAGGGCTTTGTAAACTTGTAATGGCCAATGGCTATTTACAATAAACCGAACGACAGCTACTAAAAGCACTATGGTCCACTGGAGAAAAAAACCAAGGCATTCTAGGAAAAAGTACTGAGAAGACCAGGATTTATGACTAAGAGCTCTCACAGAGATCTTTTCCTTATGGAGGCCAACAGAAGACAGAGGGCAGATTTCTCCCCTTCTCTGATCATGGGGCTAGTTCCGGTGGGAAAAGCCAGGAATTGAGTGCTCTTGCATCTTAGAACTTTCTAGATAGGGTTGCCAACCCCCCCCTGGTTTCGCAGGGGTCCCCCAAGCCCCAAGCCCCAACACCCACAGCCACCCGTCTTCCTTCACTCATGAGAGAGAGGATGGAGAGGGGTGGCTGTGGGCTACGCGCCCGATCAGGCAAGCGGGGAAACGCCGGCTCCCTGCCCTTAAGAGAAGAAGAAGAAGAGATTGGATTTATACCCCGCTCTTCACTTGGGAGTCTCAGAGTGGCTTACAAACTCCTTTCCCTTCCCCTCCCCACAACAGACACCCTGTGAGGTGGGTGGGGCTGAGAGAGCTCTGACACAAACTGCTCTTTCAGGAACAGCTGTGCCAGTGCTTGTGACTGACCCAAGGTCACATCAGCAGGTGCAAGTGGAGGAGTGGGGAATCAAACCCGGTTCTCCCAGATTAGAGTCCGCACACTTAACCACTACACCAAACCACTACACCCTTTAAGTACAGGGAGCTGGCGTTTCTCCGCACACCCGATCTCCAAGGAGATTGGGTGTGCAGGCGGGGGGGCAGACGTCCCCAACGTGATGTCATCACATCATGGATGCCCCGCTTCCTCCAGGAACGCCCCCCAAAGTCCCCCGCTGGGGGCAAAGATGGACTTGGCAACCCTATTTCTAGAGCTTTCCAGAGTTCTCTCCGTGGCAGGCCTACGCGTGTGCAGTCCTACGCATGTGCAGTCCTATGTGGAATTACACAGAAGCCACGAAGGTGAAGTAAATTAATAGTGGAATGCCTGGTGGAATGAGCTCCTGTGTGAGATCAGGGTCCTGCGGGATTTATTATGGTCCTGTGGGTCCTGCAAGATGGAGCTCTTCCATCGAGCTTTCGGTTGAGGCAGTGGGCATCCCCCTCCTTGGGTTGGCCCCCATCTGTAGCCTGGGTCTGAGATCCTAAATCTTATAGATCTCCAATGAATTTAATTTCTAGTACCACATCAACCACTGAGGTATCTGGGTTTTTTTTTTTACTTGAGTTGTATGGCACACATGAGTTATGTTATTTTACATTGTGTTTTAAATTGGTTTTAATTGTATTGTATTTTATACTGTTGGAACCCGCCCTGAGCCTGATATGGGGAGGGCGGGATATAAATCCAAATAAATAAATAAATAATACAGTTATGTTCCCCTCCCCATCTACCTTTTTTGGGCTTCTGCAGAAACACCGTGTGAGGACAATGGGACAAGATCTCTAGTCCCTAAAGCAAAGGAAGGTGCAGACAATTCAGTCCACCCTCCATTTTGCCCCATGAAAATCCCTTCCCGGCGAGCTCACCTGGCCTGTGTACTCCTTCTCAATGTCTGTCCACTCTCCAGTCAGGTCTTCAAAGGAAAAAACCGATGGGCTTATGTTAAACTCGAGATTTACTTTTCCATGAGCAGGCTTCCCATAGGTGTACCTGTGGCCAGAGATATTGGAGGGAAGGAGCAAACAGGCTTTAGTCTCATAGAATCATAGAATGTTAGAGTTGGAAGGGACCTTGCACGTCATCTAGTCCAACGATTCTGGCTCAAGAGCCACAAGTGGCTCTTCTTATTGGAAGTTCCCGTTGCGATGTCCCCTGTCTCAGACCTTCAGACTTTGTGGCAAGAGAGACTAGCTAGACAGGCAAACAGACCTTTCTTCCTGTGTTTACTCTTCTTGCCACTGTCCACTTTGAAATGGAGATTGTGTTCTCAGGGACCATTTCCCCTTCCTTCTATTCTCTCTCCTTTAGATGAGGACAAGTTCTCTTCCAGCATGCACCAAGAGAGAGACGTGTGGAGACGACTGAGAGGGGATATGATCACCGCATTCTACACTAGAAGAAGAAGAAGAGATTGGATTTATACCCCGCCCTTCACTACCTGAAGGTGTCTCAAAGCGGCTTACAAACTCATTTCCCTTCCCCTCCCCACAACAGACACCCTGTGAGGTAGGTGGGGCTGAGAGAGCTCTTGACAGAAACTGCTCTTTTTCAAGGATAGCTCTTATCAGAACTACGGCTTGCCCAAGGTCATCCAGCCATGTGCAAGTGGAGGAGTGGGGAATCAAACCCAGTTCCCCCAGATTAGAGTTCGCACACTTAACCACTACACCAAACTGGCACTACACTCAAGTTCACCCCTGTAATTATCTCAGGGTAATTTTTGTTTCCACATTACATTGAAGTCACCCCGGTTTCGCCCCACACTTGTCCCGGGATAAACGGATGCTGTTGTAACCAGGGATAAAGGCCAGGTATTGAGTCGTGAGTTGAACTCTGATAAAACCAGGGATGAGATCCAAGTGCGGAAAGGACTTGGAAACATGAAGTGTTTTATGAATATTAGATGCTTTGATCTTATGCTGGTTTTTTTACCATTATAAACATTGACTGACTGACTGGAACCATGAGGCAGGTGGCCCTCTCGCCATCTGCTTCCATCCTTCAGCTAGTAAGTTAGTGCTCTATCCTGTCTCTGTTCTTTCCTATCCAAAGTGTACTTCTCAAATAAAGAGAGAAGTATTTCTCTTCTAAACTTGCAGTGTGGCTCTGTGTAGCTTTGTAAGCTGGTAGAGTGACGCTCCTGCATTTGGAGCTTTATTTAACCACTCTGCTAACTACTAGGAACTGGACTAACCACATCAGTTTACCCCAATACTTCTGAGCACTATTACCAAATGTGGCACATGTCTCACATTTCAGGGAAGTGGACGAGACCCTTGCTTAGTACAGTTTGTGACTGGCAGCTGGTGGCGCTGCTGCAGAAAAGGGTAAGCTGCGAGCCTCCCCGGGGTACAGGCCTTGTGCCAGGGATGGAAGTAAATGCAGCTCTTTTTCAAATGAGGCTCTCCTGGGGTTACCGACTCCAAGTTGGGCAATCCCTGGGGATTTGGGGGTGTGGCCTGGGAATGGGAACGGGAGAGGCCTCAGCAGGGTACAAGGCCATATTACCCACCCTCCAAAGCAGCTATTTTCTCCAGGGGGAACTGATCTCTGCCATCTGGAGATCAGCTGTGATTCCACTAGACACCCAGACCCCACCTGGAGGTTGCAAACCAAAGAGAGAGATCACGGGAAGGAAGCTGAGAAGAAGCTAACAACCGTGATGTATTATGCCAAAAAAGTCTCCAAAGACTAGAAATTTCGTTTTCCAATATTAGGGTTACTGGAAGCAATTCAAACGCCATCAACACCAACGAACCATGCATATTATATCTCAATTCGTGTATAACTTTATCAAAGTGGGTAGCGTCAAAATACCTATATTAATTAAAATATATAATTCTATTATTAGTATTAGTAAGAGAATACTACAGACACGAGATATAATATGCATGGTTTGTTGGTGTTGATGGCGTTTGAATAGCTTCCAGTAAACTGAATATTGGAAAAAGAAATTTCTTGTCTTTGGAGACTTTTTCAGCATAATACATCATGGCTGTTTGCTTCTTCCCAACCCACCTGGAGGTTGGGAACCCCAGGCTCTCCACAAGCCGCAGAGTGAGTACTGCTGGTCTAGAGCAATGGTTTTCAAGATGTTTTCCAAGGAAGCTCCTCAGGAGCTAACAGCAGTTGCCCGTTGAGAAGAACAAACATGATTGGCAAGCATGCCAGCATTCCCCACAATGCCCTTGTGCTACACTACAATGTGCAGTCACACGGTTCACATGGTCAATTCACACGGGCCAACGGGACAGCTCAACAACATCAGCTACCACTGCACAGATAGCTTTAAAAGGGGATTCGACAGATTTATAGAGGATAGATCTATCAGTGGCTACTAGCCATGGTGACTAAAGCGAACCTCCACATTCAGAGGCAGTGAATCTGTGAATAACAATGCCAACGTCAGGGGAAGGCCTTGGACTCTCTGCCCCTTCAGAGGAACCGGTTGGCCACTGTGTGAGACAGGATGCTGGACTAGATGGACCATTGGCCTGATCCAGCAGGGCTCTTCTGATGATCTTAGAAAGGCCTTGGTCTCTATGTCCTGCTGTTGGCTGATCAGAGGAACTGGTTGGCCACTGTGTGAAACAGGATGCTGGACTAGATGGACCACTGGCCTGATCCAGCAGGGGTGTTCTTATGCTGAAAGCCCCAAGGGTATAAAGCATCAATGGTACTGAGGAACTCTTTTCATAATTAGAAAGATGCAAGTCAAAGCACATTATTCTTCAGCGGGGATTAGGGAACTCCATGGGAGTACTGCTAACCACAAGGACTTACTTTCCACATACTTTGACCGGTAATAGTTCATCTGTGGTGGTGACCACTGGGGGTAGCTCAAACAGCACTTCGATTTTTGGTAGCTCTGTAATGAATTGTAAAGAGCCGTGGTTAAGGGAGGCAGAAAGATAAAACAATTTGCATGACCCCCCCCCACTGTGCCACAGCAACAAATTCTCTCAAGACTGAGTAAAGCTAAGAGTAACTCCTGACATTATTTCCGTAATACATTTATTTAGAACCAGAGGCCATGACAAAATCTGAGGGAACACGTTATGTCAGAACACACACCACCAGCAGTTGGCCGGCTGGGATGGCAATAATTTCAAGTGGGGTCAAAATCACCGTTGTCTTCACGCCGCTCCAGACAACTAGGTGTGAGGATCTGTCTTGGCTGTGATTGGTTAGGGACAGGGTAAGGCTGTTCTAGACCTGACCTGGATGGCCCAGGCTAGCCCGATCTCATCAGATCTCAGAAGCTAAGCAGGGTCACCCCTGGTTAGTACTTGGATGGGAGACCACCACAGAAGTCCAGGGTTGCTACGCAGAGGCAGGCAATGGCAAGCCGCCTCTGAATGTCTCTTGCGTTAAAAACTCTACGGGGCCACCACACATCGGCTGCAACTCGATGGCATTTTCCCTCACCAAAGTTATTGTAAGACACGAACTGTGTTCCTGGTTGTGTTTCCCACCCCAATTTGAGAAACACACAAAACAGTGCTGTAGAGAAGAAACACTAAAAAATATTTATTAATTAATAAAGAGAGAACAGGTACACAAGGTTTTTGGGACCCTCGAATACCCACCAGCTCATCCAAAGTTATAATGGGTGACATAGCATTTTATACTCAAAATGACATCAAGAAGCAAAGCTTAATTATTGGTTCCATCAAACTTCATCACAACTTTCTAATTGGGCTCAGACCTGTGAGTTGGGTTTTCCCAAGCAAAGATTGTGTGTGTGTGTTTTAGCTAAACAATAGGCACTTCTTTCTCTTTGTTGTGTACTACTATGGAACACTACTGTATACTACTGCTATGGAACACAACTGCGCTAGCTTGACCATGTGGTCAAGCACACCTTCGGGTGCTAGAACAATAGAGGATTCGGATCCCAGGGTAGACCAATTGGAGTGCCCGGATTCTAGAGTAGACCTATGAAGGACTACTCCACTGTAAATAGCCTATCACAGGTGTGGGGTACTGCAGGAATATAAGTAGAGCTTGGACCTCGCTAGTTTGTATTTCGTTTCGCCTACTTAATAAAGCATGAGCTGATCACTACTCAACATGTCTGAACTCAGTACTTTAAACTCTTAAACTATGAAGCTCTGAAAGTATCCATATAGGCACAGGGTGCTGTTGTTCTCCATTCAGTTAGGCTAACCAACTCCAGAAACATGCGCAGTTAGGCTGGGCAGTTAAGGCAACAAGCTCTAGCAAAATAGTAGCATGTCAGCATTTTATTCTCCCAGCATGCATTTCAGCAAGAGTCATAAATGAACCAAAGTTAATAAATCAATAGGGATAGGGATAGGGTAAGGCTATTATCCTCCCAGCTTGCATCTTTATTGTGACACACACACACACACACACACACACACACTGATACCGGTATACCACTTTGTACAATTTCAATTATTTATATATTTTTATTAAAAAATTTATATCCCTCCTTTCCTCACGATTCAGCTTTACCTGTGGTTACAGTTTATCCATCTCATTGGTATACCCATATTTACAGTCAGCTTGTTTTCTTGGCTCGCACCTTCGTTTATGCTTCAAAAGCATTGGGAATCACTTCGGATTTGACTGATTTAATTGAATCTGATTGGAAATTAGATTCCCCCCCCCCTCTTTTGCCTCATTGATTTAAGAACTGATTAGTTCAGGAAGAATTTAATGGTCGAATAATGTGTTAAATGATGGATAAACTATTAGATTGTAAAACTGCATCTTTTTCCAATATGGGACCAAGAAAAGGAGATACAATAGCAGAAAAGGAAGCAGCAGCAGCAGCAGCCCCACCTTCTGAGGATGCAGCCCAGGATTATTCTTCATGGTGGCAGCTCCCGGTGGAACTCCCAAAAGAGGCCCACCAGCACTGCCATGCCATCGTTCAGAAGGAATATATGCATTACTTATAGAGTTGCTAGGTCTCCTGCTATAGTATGGTATACGATAAAAGCTTGAATCCCAGAGTGGCACAACATCACTTCCGGATTCATACCACAAATGATGTCATACCATTAACACAGTGACTCTCCTCATGTTACTGTCCCATTTCTGCCGGGTGCATGTTGTGTTTGTCTTATGACTTGTTCCTATTGCTTAATTTACATTTCATTGTTGTGTTTTATACCCACATATAGTTTTATCAGGTATCTCGAACTTCCCGGTAAAGGAGAGATGAGTTGTGGACTCAATAAATACTTACAATATCTCAGTATTTTAATTCAGATATTAAATATTAAACCAAGGGGAGGAAAGGAAGGGAAAAAATGACTAGGACTTTTAGATCTTCTCTTCCTTTTATTTGCAGGATTAGAGATGTAAAATCCCTGGGAATTTTGAAGCCACAGGGGAGGAGGAGGAGGAGGAGGAGGAGGAGGAGGAGATTGGATTTATACCCTGCCTTTCACTACCCAAAGGAGTCTCAGAGCGGCTTACAAACGCCTTTCCCTTCCCCTCCCCACAACAGACACCCTGTGAGGTGGGTGGGGCTGAGAGAGCTCTTGACAGAAACGGCTCTTTTTCAAGAAGAAGAGATTGGATTTATACCCCACCCTTCACTACCCAGAGGAGTCTCAGAGCGGCTTACAAACTTATTTCCCTTCCCCTCCTCACAACAGATACCCTGTGAGGCAGGTGGGGCTGCTGAGAGAGCTCTGACAGAAACTGCTCTTTTTTCAAGAACAGCTCTGACAGAACTACGGCTTGCCCAAGGTCATCCAGCCAGGTGCAAGTGGAGGAGTGGGGAATCAAACCCGGTTCTCCCAGATTAGAGTCCATGCACTTAACCACTACACCAAACTGGAAAAAAGTTGGGAATATTGGGGGGAAATGGGGGGAGGAACATTTCTTTCCAAATGCCTCCACCCCTTGCTGGCAAAGTGACCCCCCCCCAAAAAAAAACCCCTCACCATATTCCTGCACTACAAAAGTGTTTGTGCTTCCTTCACGTTTGCTCTCCCCCACTTGGATGGTATACATTCCCAGGGCCGCTTCTGAGGGAAGAGGGAAGGAGAAATCCGCAATGCCTTGTTTGGTCTCCACATCCAGCCACTGGCCAATCCGGTTCTTATTGGGATCCTGTCCATGGGATAAGACAAAAAGAACTGTGAAGTTTACAGACAGGTTGTAAAAAAATGCTGACGTCTGTGTCTGTGTAAGAGACTTTGTCCAAGCAGAAAATAAGAGAGTTGCACCAGTCACTTGGGAGATAAAAACATGAGGCCAAAACTGATGGCAGAAGAAAAATATATATATATATATATATATTATCACTCATCAGTGTTCCTACAAGAAGAATACAAGATTGGTAGCAAGACAGCAGGGGCTCTTGAATGAGAACATCTTCCTAAATCATCCACTGGAACCTTCCCTTGATACAATGTGAGCAAAATTTACGTTCAATTCACTGGTTGTATTTAGGATAAAAACCTGCATCTTCATACTATGTACAGATCACTTTGCCTATAGATTTACCACATCTGTCAGAAGTATGTTGACAGCTCAGCTGGGGGAGGGAAGATTTCACCTTATACACAACTGTATTCCAAGCCACCTAGACATCTGGTTCGTCCTGAGAGGAATTTTCAGGGAGGAGAGAGACATAGACCGATTCCCCACAAGAAGCTGTCCCATCCTCGCTCTTCTATTTCCCCCGCTTGCATTGGTCAGTTTCACACTATCTGCTGTGCGTCGGCCGCATTTTGACCCACAGCTCCCCCTGCTTTCCCCCATGTCTTCTTGATCTCAAAAAACAAGGATCGAGAAGACGCAGGGGAAATCGGGGGGAGCTGCGGGTCAAAATGCGGCTGTGCAGTGAATAGTGTGAAATTGTCCAATGCAAGCGGGGGAAATAGGAGAGCGAGGGTGGCACAGCTTCTTGTGGGGAGTCGGTCATACAGTCCCTGCATGGAAGACACTACCAGGGTGGCAGCCCTTTAAATACTTGCCTGAACACCCTGCTATCTTCACTCACCAAGATTCTCTGTTCTTTGTCCCTATTTTTCCTCTTGGGAAGATTTCAGTAAGAAAGCCCCCTCACTCCATACCCTGGGGTCCCATGTGCTCCACACCTAGAACACCCAGACCCCAACAACGTCCATGGCAGATATTTTGGGTTGCCAGGCGTGGCCTGGCCTGGCAATGGACAGGAGATGGGAAGAGGCAGGTACTGTAGGAAGTAAAGAACCGCCCATGCACACATACACTCATACCCCTGCCAGGCCCGTAGCCAGGATTTTGTGGCTTGTGGGGCAAATTTTTTTCTGGTGGGGCTGAAATTCTCAACGCAGAAAGAAAAGCCATTTAGCCAATAGAAGGCTGTTACCAGGATAGATCTCTAAATTGCAAGCTGTCAACCACTTTAGATGACAGCTAATCACTTCTGCCAGCAACAATTCTGATAACAAGCCGGCAGGTGGAGGTGATGACTTCTACAGTCAAGAAAGCTAACAGGCAGGATAAACTCTCTTCAAGGAGACCAGTTTCTTGACACAGAGTTAGAAGGGATCCTAGAGGTCACCCACTCCAACCTCCTTGTTCAGTGCAGGAATTAGTCAACCACAGCACCCCACTCTGCTTAAAGAAGCACCCTTTAAAAAATGTTTTAAAATGACTGAAAAAAATCATTTACAGGAGAAATTCTTGTGGGGCTGGGCCTTTAAGAAAGGGGGCAGAGCCCCCCAAAAGCCCACCATAGCTACAGGCCTGACCCCTGCTGCTACAGCTCTCCATGTCACTTCCCGCCAATGTGTTTGGGGGGGTTTCCCTCCAGTGTTACATATTCTTCACACCTAAAAGTTTCTTTTGCCATGTCTATTGTAGAACAGGGGTGGACAATCCCTAGCCACCCGGTGACAATGGGGACCTCAAGTTGGCTGTTAGCGACGGGCAGCTTTGCATCTTTATTGTGATGGATTAACCGGGAAAGCCCAGGGCAGACAGTGAAGCTTTGCTAAGCTCGTGCCCTTCCTTGATGGGGTTTGCTTCAGATGAGTATGAGGTGATTTTCTGTTTCTTTCCATCCATTTCTTTTTCAGAAGACCTGGCTCCTTACATTACGCACGTCCAGCTACACAATATTCCATGTCACGCTGCACTCTCCCCCCCCCCCAACTATGCAAAATATGTCCAGCTGCACAAAACAGCACAGGAGAGGTGCTCGCTTATGTACAGAAAGGTTCCTGGCTACTTACCATCAGCTGGACCAAATGGATCTGCAAGGACAAAAGAGAGGACAGATTAGAACCAAAGTCCGTTCTCCCAACATTGTGCAAAGCCACCTTGTCTTTCCCTTGGCCGGTTGAAGGGTTGCCAGTCTCCGGGGTGTGTGTGTGCATGTATCTGGAGATCTCCTGGAATGATAGCTCATCTCCACAGATCAGTTCCCCTGGAGAGACTGAGAGCATTGGAAGATGGACTGTACAGGACTTATACCTCACTGAGGTCCCTCCCCCTTCCCAAATCTTGCCCTCCCCAGGCTCCACCCCCCAAGTCTCCAGGAATTTCCCTGCCCAGATGTGTCAAACCTAACCAGCTGCCTTATCTCCTCAAACTGAGGGTCATGCTGCACGTGATATCAGAGGCTGGAGAGACGGGGCCCCAAATCTGTCATTAGCATTAAAAAAAAATAGGGTTGCCACCAATGCTCCCTTTAAGCCAGTGGTGGTGAACCTATGGCATGGGTGCCAGAGGTGGCACTCAGAGCCCTCTCTGTGGGCACGCGTGCCATCGCCCCAGCCAGGCCCAGACCATCATTAAAGTGTCAAATTCTCTGCCAAATAATTTTAAGTAAATGAAAGCATTTGGGATTGCTTTCCTTACTTTGTTTGGATCATCTTAAGTTAATGTATGAATTGTTCTTTCTAAAGTAAAACCTCAGTATCCAGGTTAAATTGCCGTGTTGGGTTTTGGGTCGCAGTTTGGGCACTCGGTCTCTAAAAGGTTCGCCATCACTGCTCTAAGTTGTGGGATCTGGTGAGCCAAAATTCTACTTTGCGAGCTACTGGCATTAACATCGTGAGTGAGCGATTTGGCTCCTGCATAAATTAGTCTGCTCTGGAGCCCTCCTTCCTGTGTGAGCCAGAGGCTAAAAAACTGTGAGCTAGCTCACACTAACTCAGCTCAGAGGGAACACTGGTTGCCAGTCTCTAGCTGGTGGCTGAAAATCTCCCAGACTTACAACAGATCTCCAGGAAAGAGATCAGTCCCTATGGAGAAAATGGCTGCTTTGGAAGGTGGACTCTATGGCATGATAGACTGCTAAGACTAGCAAATACCGTGACAATATGCACAGAATATATCAAGAAAATATATTTAAATGTAATTAAAGCAGACAGTTGTCTTAAAGAACAATGACAAAGAAAGCGATGAAATTGACATATGTTAGTCAATCCTTTGAGTCAGAGGTCATTTCACAGAAAAAGAGGTGCAGGAGCTCATTAGCATAAGTCATTAGCATAACTCATTTGCATATGCCACACCCCCTGACATCACCGGAAGTGTGTCAGAAGGCAACACCCACCATTCAGGCTCCACTGGACTGTTTTGGATTCCTAGCTATTGGGGGGGGGGAAGGTGCAGATCTGTCCTTGCAGAAGAGGGAGAGCTTGTACCTGAATAAAGCTTGGTCTTAAAGGTGCCACTGGACTGTTTTGGATTGCTAGCTGGGGGGGGGGGGGGCGACGCACAGATCTGCCCTCACACAGATCTGTGCAGAGATAGAGAGGGATGGAAATAAGGAGGGAGAGAAGGAGAGAAAGAAGGAAAAAAGGAGGAAAAAGGGGGAAAAGAAAGAAAGAAAAAGGGAAAAAAGGAGGGGAAGAGCGAAAGAAAGAAAAAGAAAGACATAATGGAGGGAAAGAAGGAAAGAAAGAGAAGGAAAGAAGGTGGGGAAAAGGGAAAGAATGAGAGAGAGGGAAAGAAAGAGAGAAAAGAAAAGAAGGAATGCTTTTAGTATAGGAATCCATGTAGATGAGGTGCTAACGTTCTAGTCTAAGGCCAAGTCAATCAGATCACTTTGCAGATGATAATCTGTGGAATGCATTCTACTTGGGCTTCGATTAGTGTGGTTTTAAATAGCTTCATAGCGTCATGCAAGAGAGAACAGTTATTTTTGAAGAAGGAATACTGCGAAACGAAGAGGAAAATGTCCGGAATCTTCGTCAAAACAATTCTGAGTTCAACATTAACAGTTTATTTTATATGTTTAAGCAAGTCTTTTGTGTTTTTTCATTGAGGTCTGTGCTATTGCACACTTAGACATCCAAACGCCTATGTGCATAACTGTACTAAACGCTTATGTGCATCTGCTTAAATTACATTCAAATATATTTTCTTGATATATTCTGCGCATATTGTCATCGTATTTGCTAGCCTTAACTGCTTTTTACTGTGACCCATCTACTTTCTTAATTAGACTCCTAAGGCACCTCCCCTCCCCAAACCTGGCCCTCCCTAGACTCCACTCCCCAAATCTCCAGGAATTCCCCAAAGCAGAGCTGGAAACCCTGACCGGCTGCTTTGTGTCCTCAAACTGAGAGCCAAGCTCCACGTGATATTGGAGGCTGGAGAGAGTGGACCCCAAATTGGTCAAGTTAGCATCAAAACAATCAGACATGGGGGGAGGAGGAGGGGATACGGACTGGGGCTGGGAAAGGGAGGCTAAACGTTTTGCCAAATCCTGTTTCCCTGCCCAGAAAGGTCAGTGCATGAGAGACTGGGTTTCCTTCCTTGCCCTATCTGGCCTCTCTGTTCCCCTGCTCGTGTCAAAAGGGCTTCCAACCTGCGGGTGGGTCTCGGAGATCTCCTGGAATTGCAATGGATCTCCTAACTACAGAGATCAGCTCCCTTGGAGAAAATGGCAGTTTTGGAGGGTGGAGTCTCTGGCGTTACACGCCCGTTGAGGTCCTTGCCCTCCCCAAGTTCCAACCCCCAAATCTCCAGGAATTTCCCGACCCAGAGTTTGGGGGGGGACGTGCAGATCTGTCCTCGCAGAGGAGGGAGAGCTTGTACCTGAATAAAACTTGGTCTTAAAGGTGCCACTGGACTGTTTTGGACCGGGGGGGCTGGGGGGGGGCTCTGCAACTTACCTGGCTGCTTCTTGCTCTGACTGAGGGCTGCTGGGAGCAGGGGGTGGGGCTTGTTGCATGTGCCCGCCCCCTGGACTCTTTACTGCCGGAGCTCCGCTCCTGTGCGCTCCAGCAGGAAATGACCCCAGCGCACTTGGCAAGCCCTTGAATACACACACATCCTGCAAAGGGAGTGCACTGAGCTTTGGGCAGTCAAGTTGGCAGGACGGGCGTGCCACAAGTGTGGAGGGGCCTTTAAGGAAGCGGGAAGAGCCCCCCCATAGCCCCCCCATAGCTACGGGGCAGCGCATCTGACTGCCACATCAAAGGAGGCAGGCAAACCCTGGAGAGGGGTACACTGTACGGTTGCCATCTCTGGACTGGGAAATTCCTGGAGATAAGGCCTTGGGAGGGAAGGGCTTGGGGGAAAGGAGGAACTGCAGGAGAACAGAATGAATGTCATACAGCCCATCATCCAAAGTGGACATTTTCTCCAGGGGAACTGATCTCTGCTGTCTGGGAATCAGTTGTCATTCCAGGAGGTCTCTAGGCCCCACCTGGAGGGTGGCAACCCTATGGCTCAACACACAGCAAAACACTCTCTGCGGCCCGTTCACAAGGGATTCATGGCACAGGATACCGAGAGCCGTGGTTTGCTCAGAGGCAGTGCAGAGTATTTACCCTTTGCCTAGTCCCATTTTTTTTCAAATGAAAGGACCAATGGATCTTGTCAGGGCCACTAAGGGAGGGACTACTTGCCGGGGCACAAATGGGTGGCAAAACTTGTTTTTACATCACGGTTGGATCTGGGGTTCATGAGGGAAAAGCTCAGAGGAGATCTTCGTCTGGGGGCCCGGGGCCCGGTAAGTGGATGGCCCTGCGAGCTCTTGCCGAACGGCCCGCCCAAGAAGAATCGATACTCACCTTTTGCGGTGAGCCCTTGAACTCGTAACTGAGCCTCACAATGCGAAAACGGACTGGAAAAAACAGAGATAAAAATATTTATGGTGTGTGGGGGGGAACAGAGATCAAACAGCAAGCAATTCATTAGAAGCCGGTGTGGATCTCAAAAGACACCCACCAACCCTGGAATTACAGCAGATCTCCAGATGACAGACATTGGTTTGACTAGAGCAGGGGTGTCAAACATACGGCCCATGGGCCTCCAATCCAGCCTCCAATCCAGCCTGAGAGCAACTGATTCTGTGCTGCTTCCTGCTTCCTGTTTCTAACATTGCAGCCCTTTTTGGCCAGTCTCTCCTATTTCCTGCTTCATAGGAGAGAAAGGAAGCTTTCCTTCAATTGCCTGAGAGCTCCCCCCCCAAAAAAAAAGTGGCGCGGGGACCCCCCCCCCCCCCGGGGGGGGAGGGGGAGAGAAGGAACCGGGGGGGGGGGGAGAATGCTGCCACATGGAACTTTTAAGAAGACCAGCAATGTTTAAGTCCAGGTATTAGCTTTTGTGTGCAAGCACACTTTTTCTTCTTCAGAGACAGAGAGGCAAGAAAAGAACGAGAGAGAGAGAGAGAGAGAGAGAGAGAGAGAGAGAGAGAGAGAGAGAGTGAGTCCTGTGTTTAAGACCAAAAATGTTTTACTCCAGGTATAAGCTTTTGTGGACAAGCACACTTTTTCTTCAGAGAGAGAGGGAGGGGAGGGAAAGGCCTAGAGAAAGCATACCGGAGAGAGGGGGGAAGGAATCCCATGGCACTTGGAAAAATCCCCCTTTCCATTTCTAATGTGGGAGGAGAAACTTAACAGCGCAGCTTGCATTCCTTATTAGTTAAAGGGAGCAAGAGTACAGCAGCACCTTAATGATTAACAAACTTTGTGGCAGGGCATGAGCTTTCATAAATCACTGCTCACTTCTTCAGATACAGCTGGAATGTGAGTCCATCTGTCCTTATATCTTGGAGAGTGAAGTGATTTCAGATGCCAAATGACAATAGCAGGCATTGGTAATGAGAGAAGAAACCTAGTTCTCAATTCAGTCCAGGAGAATGCATTGTCTTGAGCTTCATTATCAGTTGCAATTCAGCAGTCTCTCTTTCAAGTCTCCCTTTGAGATTCCATTGTAAGAGAACTGCTAGTCTTAGGTCAGCAACTGAATGCCCTGGAAGGTTAAAATGTTCCCCCACTGTTTTTTGAATGTTGTGGTTTCTAAGAGCAGTAGAAAGAGTCCAGTAGCGCCTTTTATCTTTTAAAATATTTGTATAATGTATTTTAATATATATGACTGTAAGCCGCCCTGAGCCTGCCTTCGCGGGGAGGACAGGATATAAATCAAATAAATCAAATAAATTTAAAGACTTATTGGGGTAGGGTATGTGCTTTTGTGAGTCACTGCTTATTTCCATTTATTCTTTGCATCTTCTTGGACTGAATCCTCCTGTACCAAACTGAGACCTAGACTTGGCCACTACACTACTAACCCCTAGCTTCAGATCACTGATGAGTAAATTTAGTAGTACCGGCTCCAATACCGATCCTTGTGGGACCCCGCTACTTACTTCCCTCCATTGTGTGAACTGTCCATTGATTCCTACACTTTGCTTTCTGTCATTTAACCACTTTTTAATCCATAAGAGAACCTGTCCTCTTATCCCATGACTGCTAAGTTTACTCAAGAGTCTTCGGTGAGGTACCTTGTCAAAAGCCTTTTGAAAGTCCAGGTATATAATGTCCACTGGGTCACCATTGTCTACATGCTCGTTGACTTTCTCAAAGAACTCCAAAAAGTTAGTGAGGCAGGACTTCCCTTTGCAGAAGCCGTGCTGATTTTGCCTCAGCAGGCTGATTTGTCCCTCTGTGTTCCTAACAATTCTATCTTTGATTACAGCTTCTACTAATTTGCTTGGGAAAGATGTTAGGCTGACTGGCCTGTAATTTCCTGGTTCCCCCTCTGAATCCCTTTTCAAAAACTGGTGTAACATTTGCTACTCTCCAGGTTTCTGGTACAGCAGCTGAATTACATATACACATAGGTTACATATACTCTCAGGTGTATGCCATCAGAACCTGGAGACATATAATTTTTTTAATTTCCCCAGTATGTCTACAACGTCATCTCTGGTCATCTCAATTTGGCTCAGTTCAGACTCCCTTCCTGAAAAAAGGGGCTGTTGGCATGGGTATGTGCCCCACACTTTCCACAGCGAACACTGAAGCAGTCATTGAGCTTCTCTGCCATCTCCCCATCTTCCTTTAGCAATCCCTTTATTCCTTTGTAATCCAAAGGCCCCACTGCTTCTATGGCTGGTTTCCTGCTCTGGATATATTTTTTTTAAACATTTATTGTCTTGATGCTTTTAGCAACCTGCTCCTCAAAATCTCTTTTTGCATGCCTAATTATTGACTTACATTTCTTTTACCAGAGCCTGTTCAATTCATTGGGGCAGATCTTCCACTTTTTAAAAGAAGGCTCTTTACTCTTTATAGCTTCCTTGACTTGTGTTGTTACCCACGCAGGTCTTCTTTTAGACTTGGCCGTGCCTTTCCTAATCTGTGGAATGCATTCTATTTGGGCTTCAATTAGTGTGGTTTTAAATAGCTTCCAAGCATCCTCTAGGGATTTGACTCTCTTGAGTTTCCCCTTCAGCTTCCTTTTTACTATTTCCTCATTTTTGTAAAGTTCCCTATTTTGAAATCAAATGTTACAGTTTGGGACTTTAGGGGTAACTTTCTGTTGACCTGAATGCTGAACTTAATAGCATTGTGGTCACTGTTTCCAATTGGTTTAGCAATTCTATCTCTCTCTATAGCCTCTATATCTCTCACCAGGTCTTGAGACCCACTCAGAACCAGGTCCAAGATCACTACCCCTCTGATTGGCTCTGTGACCAACTGTTCCAATGTGCGGTCATTGATGTTTAGGAATCTCATGTCTACTGCTTGACTCCAGCACATGTTTCCTGAGTCAACGTGGGGGTAGTTGATGTCTCCCAGTATAATAACATCATCTGCTTTAGTCACCTCCCTTATTTCCTTCTCCATCTCAATATCAGCCTCAAGGGTTTGAGCAGGTGGGCCATGCAGGTAACCCCCCACTTTTAAGTAACCCTTAGGGTTGGGGAGTTAATTCCCCTGATCTTCAACTGAACGAAACCCTCGTCGTCAGCGAATGTGTGTGAATTAAGATGTATATATGTTGTCCTCCCCTACCCCACAAATCATTGTTAGTCCCTCGTAATATTGAGTAACTGTAAATCGCTCAGAGCCAGCAAGCTCTGCAGGATTGAGCGATCAATAAATTGAAAGATTATTATTATTATTATTATTATTATTATTATTATTATTATTATTATTATATTATGTTCTCTTTGATGTACAACGCAACAACAACCCATTCCTCCCAGTCCTGCCTTATACCCAGGAGAGACTGTATCTCATAGATCTTCCCGATTCCACCATGTTTCTGAGATACCTAACATATCTAAATTGTAATTGAACACCAAGGACTCCAGCTCCACCGTCGTGGCTTGGAGATTTCTAGCATTGGCATATAGACATCTATAATGTGTTTCCCTCTCCAGTAATCATCACCTCCCTCGGCCCCTTAGTCGCCACACATGACCCTCAGTCACCATCATGCCCTCACTCCCAAGTTCTATTACATTCCTATCAATAGTACCCTGAGTGTTTACTCAATCATCCCTTTGGACTGACTTGTCCTGAACTGGAGGCTCCCCAACTCCTGTTGGCTCTGCCCCCCCCCCACCTGTTTGTGCTGCCCCCCCCCCCCCCGGATTAGTTCAGAAGCTTCTCTGCCACCTTTTTGATCTTAATCGCCAGCAGTCTGGTTTCCTTTTGGTTCAAGTGAAGCCCATATTTTTTGTACAGGTTCAGCTTGTACCAGAAAGTTCTCCAGTGCCTAACAAATCTAAACCCATCCTCCCAGCACCACTTTCTCATCCAAAACTGAGACCCCGGATCTGTGCCTGTCTAGCTGGCCCTAAGCATAGAACCGGCAGCACTTCTGAGAATGCCACCTTTGAGGTCCTGGCCTTGAACTTTCTGCCTGGTATCCTAATTTTTTCCTCCAGGACCACACAACTATATTTCCCAATGTCACTGGTGCTAGGGTAGCCCGGTCTTACTTGACTGCTGGTGTGGGGGGTGGTTCTGTTTCTTCCTCAATAGAGTTTTTCCTTGAATGATAGAGTGCCCCCCGTAATGTCCCCTGTGCGATGAAGTCACCTCCAGGTGATATCATTGTGCCAGGCACATTGGTGTGAACACAGCAGTTTGGGGGTGGGGTTCCCCTTGCCAGCAAAATCCGGGCCACCGGATTGGGGGCCCAGAAAGCGGGTAAACCCACAGTAGGGGAATGGCAACCCTAACTGATGCCAACATGCACCATGACTGCTGACTCTTCCCTGGCACTATCTATCTACCTATCTAGACAGTATGTGATGTCCACAACCTTCGCACCTTTCACAGTGACTCTTGCTTGCACCTGCGGGGCCTGCATTCCTTGCTGTTGGGGAGGACGGTAGTTTGGGCTGTTGCAAGCAGCAGAGGCGCTCAGCTTTCCCCAGCTTTATTCTCCCTCCCTCCCTCCTAGCCATTCTGAAGGTGGGGCAGGAGCCCCTGCAGGGCTAGGCCTCTCCCAAGGGCTGCTAGCCGGTCAGGCATACCTGTCTCTCCAGGCTTGTAAAAGGGCTTGTCTGGCTCGATGATGTTGTAGATGTCAATGGACCTGACCAGCACCTTCTTCCGGCCCTCAAAGCTCACACTGTCACCCTTGCGGATGAGGACGTGCACGTGGGCCACCTCTTCACTCTCCACAAGGCAAAGGAGAAAAACGCTTTCAATGTAGGAGGCTGGAGAACAGATGGCCATTTTGAAAGTAGGGCAGACGTTCTTTGCTGCTGAACTGGAAACTTTTGGGGAATTCCTCCCAAACTGGGCTCCTCTTATCCAGGAAAAAGGAGCTTAAGATGCCCACCCCAATTGTGGATACCCCATCTTCCTCTTGCCACTCCCTCCCACGCCCTTCTGAACCCTCTGTCCTTTGCTCATCCCCTTCCCAGTCTTTCCTTCCTTGGTCCCCTCTTCCTTTCCCTCCTAAGCCGTTTCAATCTTTGCCTGTCCCGTTCCCAGTCTGTCCTTCCTTGGTCTCCTCTTCCTTTCCCTCCTAAGCCATTTCGATCTTTGCCCATCCCCTTCCCAGTCTGTCCTTCTTTGGTCCCCTCTTCCTTTCCCTCCTAAGCCGTTTCAATCTTTGCCTGTCCCGTTCCCAGTCTGTCCTTCCTTGGTCTCCTCTTCCTTTCCCTCCTAAGCCATTTTGATCTTTGCCCATCCCCTTCCCAGTCTGTCCTTTCTTAGTCGCGTCTTCCTTTCCCTCCTAAGCCATTTCGATCTTTGCTCATCCCCTTCCCAGCCTGTCCTTCCTTGGTCTCCCCTGTCTTCCTTTCCCTCCTATGACTCATAAACCTCTCTCACACCTAAGGTTGTCAACCTCCAGGTGGCACTTGCAGATCTCCTACTATTACAGTGGATCTGCAGATGACCAAGATCAGTTCCCCTGCTGAGGTCTTTCCCCACCTCAAACCCCACCATCCCCAGGATCCACCTCTCAAATCTCCAGTCATTTGCCAACTTAGAGATGGCAACCGTCCCCTCCCCTCCCTCTATCATGTGAATCCTTCCTTTAAGGGACAGAACACATTTAGTAGGAGGAGGGAAGTGGCTGGGAGATGTGATACTTACTGGTCTATCTTTTGTTGGAATGAAGAGTGGGACCTGAAAGAGAGAGGGAGGAAAAAGGTAGGCAGCTGCACTAGCGCAGAAGTTCTTCTATGGTGTCACACATCCCTTCCGCACAGGGCCATTTCTCTATTCTGCTCTGAGGGCTACATCCACAAACGCCAAGGTGAGGTGCTCTGGGCCTTTGTCTCTCACTGGCCATTCCCCACCACTCCCTTTCACCACCAGCGAGAGCCAGTGTGGTGTCGTGGTTAAGTGGGCGGACTCTAATCTGGGAGAACCGGGTTTGATTCCCCACTCCTTCGCTTGCACCTGGCTGGATGACCTTGGGCAAGCCGTAGTTCTGATAAGAGCTGTTCTTGAAAAAAGAGCAGTTTCTCTCAGAGCTCTCTCAGCTCCGCCTACCTCACAGGGTGTCTGTTGTGGGGAGGGGAAGGAGTTTGTAAGCCGCTCTGAGACTCCTTTGGGTAGTGAAGGGCAGGGTATAAATCCAGTCTCTTCTTCTCTTCTTCTTCTTCCTTCTAAACTGTGGAGTCTTGTGAGCAAAAATTCTACTTTGTGAGCTGCTGGCATTAAAGTTGTGAGTGAGCCATTTGGCTGCTGCATAAGTCAGTTTGCTCCGGAGCCATCCTTCCTGAGTCGAGACAAAAATGGGTGAGCCAGAGGCTAAAAAACTGAGAGCTGGCTCACACTGACTCAGCTTAGAGGGAACACTGATTACCACTGATCTCCAGCTGACAGAGACCAGTTTGCCTGGAGAAAGTGGCCTCTTTGGAAGGTGGACTCCAGGGCATCATACCCCATTGAAGCCCCTCCCCTCTCCAAACCCCGCCCTCCCCAGGCTCCACCCCCCAAATCTCCAGGTATTTCCTAACCCAGAGCTGGCATCCCTAGTGTATGTGGCGGAATGGTGCTGGATGGCACTCAGGTGGCAGCCTGCAATGCCACCCTCTGTCTGGGGAGGGCCCAGTGCTCCCTCTAAGCTGTGGAGTCCTGTGAGCAAAAATTTTACTCTGTGAGCCACTGGAATTAAAGTTGTGAGCAAGTGATTTGGCTACTGCATAAATCAGTCTACTCTGGAGCCCTCCTTTCTGAGCTCAGACAAAAAAGTGTGAGCTAGAAAACAGTGAGCTGGTTCACACTTACTCAGCTTAGAGGGAACACTGGCGGGGCCTGGTGCTGGGGACAGCCGGAGTGGGTGGGGCAGTGCCCCATCTGCCCTCATATTCCCCCCCCCATAGAGTTACAACACTTGCAGCAATGATCCTGCATGATGTGGTGGTTAGAGTATCTGACTAGGATCGGGGAGACCCGGGTTCGAATCCCCACTTGGCCATGGAAGCTCGCTGGGTGACCTTGGGCCAGTCACACTCTCTCAGCCTAACTGACCTCACGGGAGGATAAAATGCAGGAGAAGAGATTGATGTGAGGTGCCTTGGGTACCCATCAGGGAGAACAGCAGTGTATAAACGAAGTAAACAGATACATGTACCTTGAAGTCGATGCACTCAAAAGCTCCGGGCTTCTCCACGTCCTTCTCTACTAGGGAATGGTTCTGGGTCTTCATCTCCAGCGTGACAGTCAGGTGAACGCTCTCTGGGAGGGAACTGAGAAGGACGCAGACCTTGTCCACATTGGGATGATACAGGATGGCCGGGACAACCACCAGGTAATGACTGGAAGAGGATGGAGAAGAGGTCACCTGGGGGGGGCTATTCCAGTGAGCTCCATGAGGATTTCCACCCCATAAAGGAACAGTTGTTAGTCAGTTGCTGTGTGGGAACCGTTACGATGGGAATTCAGGAAGATCCTCCCAGATCCCCAAAGAACCAACCCCAGCCACTTTTGAAGGAACTTTAATCCAGCATGGCGTACTGTTTAAAGCATCAGACTGGGATCTGAGAGACCCAGGTTCGAATCCCCACTCTGCCATAGAACGGATCAAAGGAAGTCCTTCTTCACCCAAAGAGTGATCAACACATGGAATTCACTGCCACAGGAGGTGGTGGCGGCTACAAGCATGGACGGCTTCAAGAGAGAATTGGATAAGCATATGGAGCAGAGGTCCATCGGTGGCTATTAGCCACAAGGTACAGACAGGAACTCTTGGTCTGGGGCAAGTGATGCTCTGTCTTATTGGTGCTTGTGGAGTGGGGTCAACAGTGGGAGGGCTTCTGGTGTCCTGGCCCCACTGCTGGACCTCCTGATGGCACCTGGTATTTCTGGCCACTGTGTGACACAGAGTGTTAGACTGGATGGGCCATTTGGCCTGGTCCCACATTGGCTTCTCTTATGTTCTTATGTTCCTATGTTCTTAAACTTGCTGGGAGGGGGGGGCTGGCCCAGTCACTCTCAGCATAACCTGCCTCGCAGGGCTGGTGGGAGGATAAAACGGAGGAGAGGAGAACTGGGTAAGCCTCTCTGGGCCCCCATTGGGGAGGGAAGTGGGGTACAAAGAAAGAAAGTGAATAAATATACATATGAACCAACTTGGGCCTCTAGCCTGCCACGTCCACTCCATGCCCCCCCCCCGCATGTCCATCAGCCATTTTAACTGGCATGACTCCCTCCTTCTTCCTCCCCGACAATGGCAGGAGGCAGATGGCCTCGCCCCTAAACATCAACTTGTTCATCTCTGTACCACTTTGTGTCCTCCTTACCATAGCACAGGATACAAAGAATAAGAAGAGATTGGATTTATACCCTGCCCTTCACTACCCGAAGGAGTCTCAGAGCAGCTTACCATCTCCTTTCTCTCCCCCTCCCCACAACAGACACCCTGTGAGGTAGGCGGGGCTGCTGAGAGAGCTCTCTTGAGGACTGCTCCTGAGAGAACAGCTCTGAGGCAACTTGTGACTGACCCAAGGTCACACCAGCAGCTGCATGTAGAGGAGTGGGGAAATCAAACCCAGTTCTCCCAGATTAGAGTCCGCGCACTTAACCACTACACCAAACCGGCTCTCTACACCACTACACCAAACATCTTCATGCTTACGGATTTCCTCTTTGGGAAATCACTTCACCTGTTGTTAAAGATATTGGCTAAGTCAATCAATGGAAACAAACAGGTCCTCAGCACTGAACCCAAACATTTTGTCACTGGAAAATGTAGTGCTCTCCCCATTACTGTCTGTCTCCCCTGCTCCCCTGCCTGTTTCTGAAAGCATCATCCCAGACGTCAACGCCTTCCTCTGGTGATGGTATTCAGGGCATTACGGCCTCTGAACTACCGTAGGGACGACGACACATTAAAAGAAGCGGTGCAGTCAAAGCAATATTATAGTATACAAGAAGGGGGACCTGCGATGTGCTCCCCCTCCCCCCCAGCGGCAGCAGCAGCCACCCGCCAAGCCTTCCCCCCCAGCGGCAGTGAGGGCAAGACAGTTGCCAGGACATTATCTGTACATGCGCATGGAATGCTCTTTTACTTTTGTGGGGATTTAAGTATCCCCCATGTACTTTTTTCAAATTTTTAGATTTTTCTGCAGACCTGGGGACTGCTCCAAGTGTGCAGGAAAATCTCTCTGCCCCCCAAGTGCCCCTGATGTACGGATTTAGATATCCGCACGGAGGGGGCAACTTGGCTATTAGATATATAGATTAGTGCATTTTTGAACTGTCAGTATTATCAGATTAATTATTTCTGCAATGCTGTTCTTTCCTTTGTTCAGTTCTTGGTAATTATAAATTCATAGGTTTACATATAGCATGTACAATATACAGGGGCCATTTCGTAGAAAAAGAGGTGCAGGAGCTCATTAGCACAACTTCTTAGCATAACTTATTTGCATACGTCACACCCCCTGGCATCACCGGAAGTGTGTCAGAAGGCAACACCCACTGCTCAGACTCCACTGGACTGTTTTGGATTGCTAGCTATTGGGGGGGGGGGAATATGCAGATCTGTCCTCGCAGAGGAGGGAGAGCTTGTACCTGAATAAAACTTGGTCTTAAAGCTGCCACTGGACTATTTTGGACCAGGGGGTGGGGAGGGAGCTCTGAAACCTACCTG